CTCTTGCTGAACACCGACAACATATTATCACACATATAGATTTGAGAACTGCCATTAAAATCTTACAACAAGAACACATATGTGAAAACATCCATCTGATCACAAATGTCATAGCATTAATGCAAACACTCAAACGACAAGGCCGACGGGTACTTACCAACTGGGTGCCATGTGGAAACAATAGGAAATGATATTGCAGACGAAGCTGCAAAACTTGCAATTAAGAGAAGAAATGTAGACATTTACATACCACAGAGTCTATCACAGATTAAGAAAGTAATTAGGAACAGAGCAATGCAGAAGATGTTCAGTGACCACAACACAGAAGTTGCAACATCAGGATCTGCGGGTTGGTACAAGAATTCAACCAACTACGAACCACTTATGTTGATGAAAGGGAACAGTAGAGCAACAGAAGTACACTTACATCGCATCAGGCTTGGATACCCATGAGCATGGGAATTAGGCTTACAGGTTCCGGAAGATGAGAGGAAATGTCAACACTGTGGAGAAATGCCTGACAGACCACTGGAACATTATCTAACACAGTACACAGCTACAAGCCCACTAAGATTTCAACTTAGCTTCAACAGAGCAGTAGTAGTAAACACATAGGACAAAATCTTACTGAAGCGACCATACGAGTCATAAATACTCATACTACACCCAAATAAAACAGAAACAAGCAACACTTAGTGGGCCAGCCAGAGGCTTACGGCCCGCGCAGGAATATCCATGCAAAAACAAAAAAACCCTCACCTACTCCCCTCACCCCCCTGACACCCATCTTCAGGGAACGATCGTTTTTTACATTTTCTTCATATCAAACATTTTCATACTTGTCCACCTCATTTTTCATTTTTTTCATCCTATTGCTACTTTTGCACCTTGCAACATTGCTTGCATTATCTTACACCACCTTTCATCCTCCCCGAGGACAACCACCGTCCTCTGCCATGTTGCATGCAGTCGTTGATGGAACAGTTGTAGTCCTATTTTTCCCTACTGTGTTGCACCAGCTGACACGCGGGAAGGGTGGGGAGTGTCAGGACACAGACGCCCCTGGTGTGTGAGGGTTGGGACACTTGACACACACGCCCCTGGTGTGTGTGTCAGAACACTTGACACACACGCCCCTGGTGTGTGTGTCAGAACACTTGACACACACGCCCCTGGTGTGTGTGTCAGAACACTTGACACACACGCCCCTGGTGAGTGTTGGGACACTTGACACAGACGCCCCTGGTGTGTGTCAGAACACTTGACACAGACGCCCCTGGTGAGTGTTGGGGCACTTGACACAGACGCCCCTGGTGTGTGAGGGTGTTGGGACACTTGACACAGACGCCCCTGGTGTGTGAGTGTCAGGACACTTGACACAGACGCCCCTGGTGTGAGAGTGTCGGGACACTTGACACAGACGCCCCTGGTGTGAGAGTGTCGGGGCACTTGACACAGACGCCCCTGGTGTGAGAGTGTCGGGACACTTGACACAGACGCCCCTGGTGTGAGAGTGTCGGGGCACTTGACACAGACGCCCCTGGTGTGTGAGTGTTGGGACACTTGACACAGACGCCCCTGGTGTGTGTGTCAGAACACTTGACACAAACGCCCCTGGTGAGTGTCAGGACACTTGACACAGACGCCCCTGGTGTGTGAGTGTCGGGACACTTGACACAGACGCCCCTGGTGTGAGAGTGTCGGGGCACTTGACACAGACGCCCCTGGTGTGAGAGTGTCGGGACACTTGACACAGACGCCCCTGGTGTGTGAGTGTCGGGGCACTTGACACAGACGCCCCTGGTGTGTGAGTGTCAGGACACTTGACACAGACGCCCCTGGTGTGTGAGGGTGTTGGGACACTTGACACAGACGCCCCTGGTGTGTGTGTCAGAACACTTGACACAGACGCCCCTGGTGTGTGAGGGTGTTGGGACACTTGACACAGACGTCCCTGGTGTGTGAGTGTCAGGACACTTGACACAGACGCCCCTGGTGTATGTGTCAGAACACTTGACACAGACGCCCCTGGTGAGTGTTGGGGCACTTGACACAGACGCCCCTGGTGTGTGAGGGTGTTGGGACACTTGACACAGACGCCCCTGGTGTGTGAGTGTCAGGACACTTGACACAGACGCCCCTGGTGTGAGAGTGTCGGGACACTTGACACAGACGCCCCTGGTGTGAGAGTGTCGGGGCACTTGACACAGACGCCCCTGGTGTGAGAGTGTCGGGACACTTGACACAGACGCCCCTGGTGTGAGAGTGTCGGGGCACTTGACACAGACGCCCCTGGTGTGTGAGTGTTGGGACACTTGACACAGACGCCCCTGGTGTGTGAGTGTCGGGACACTTGACACAGACGCCCCTGGTGTGTGAGTGTCGGGACACTTGACACAGACGCCCCTGGTGTGAGAGTGTCGGGGCACTTGACACAGACGCCCCTGGTGTGAGAGTGTCGGGACACTTGACACAGACGCCCCTGGTGTGTGAGGGTGTTGGGACACTTGACACAGACGCCCCTGGTGTGTGTGTCAGAACACTTGACACAGACGCCCCTGGTGTGTGAGGGTGTTGGGACACTTGACACAGACGCCCCTGGTGTATGTGTCAGAACACTTGACACAAACGCCCCTGGTGTGAGAGTGTCGGGGCACTTGACACAGACGCCCCTGGTGTGTGAGTGTTGGGACACTTGACACAGACGCCCCTGGTGTGTGAGTGTCGGGACACTTGACACAGACGCCCCTGGTGTGTGAGTGTTGGGGCACTTGACACAGACGCCCCTGGTATGTGTGTCAGAACACTTGACACAAACGCCCCTGGTGACTGTTGGGACACGTGACACAGACGCCCCTGGTGTGTGTGTCAGAACACTTGACACAAACGCCCCTGGTGTGTGTGTCAGAACACTTGACACAAACGCCCCTGGTGTGTGAGTGTCGTGGCACTTGACACAGACGCCCCTGGTGTGTGAGTGTCGTGGCACTTGACACAGACGCCCCTGGTGTGTGAGTGTCAGGACACTTGACACAGACGCCCTTGGTGTGTGAGAGTGTCGGGGCACTTGACACAGACGCCCATGGTGTGAGAGTGTCGGGACACTTGACACAGACGCCCCTGGTGTGAGAGTGTCGGGACACTTGACACAGACGCCTCTGGTGTGTGAGTGTCATGACACTTGACACAGACGCCCCTGGTGTGAGAGTGTCGGGACACTTGACACAGACGCCCCTGGTGTGAGTGTCGGGACACTTGACACAGACGCCCCTGGTATGTGAGTGTCATGACACTTGACACAGACGCCCCTGGTGTGAGAGTGTCGGGACACTTGACACAGACGCCCCTGGTGTATGTGTCAGAACACTTGACACAAACGCCCCTAGTGAGTGTTGGGACACGTGACACAGACGCCCCTGGTGTGTGAGTGTCGTGGCACTTGACACAGACGCCCCTGGTGTGTGAGTGTCGTGGCACTTGACACAGACGCCCCTGGTGTGTGAGTGTCGTGGCACTTGACACACACGCCCCTGGTGTGTGAGTGTCGTGGCACTTGACACAGACGCCCCTGGTGTGTGAGTGTCGTGGCACTTTACACAGACGCCCCTGGTGTGTGAGTGTCTGGACACTTGACACAGACGCCCCTGGTGTGAGAGTGTCGGGACACTTGACACAGACGCCCCAGGTGTGAGAGTGTAGTGGCACTTGACACAGACGCCCCTGGTGTGTGAGTGTTGGGACACTTGACACAGACGCCCCTGGTGTGAGAGTGTCGGGGCACTTGACACAGACGCCCCTGGTGTGAGAGTGTCGGGGCACTTGACACAGACGCCCCTGGTGTGAGTGTGTCGGGACACTTGACACAGACGCCCCTGGTGTGTGAGTGTCGGGGCACTTGACACAGACGCCCCTGGTGTGAGGGGCTCTCACATTCTGAGAAACAATTATGTACATAACTTGTACTTCAAAGCCTCTGTCATGACATATTTAGTCATGATAATGAGAAGCTGGAGACCAGCCAAGTATGTAAAGTGAAGACCTTCCTCACTACCTCCCTCACCACCACCTGGTAGCTGTTGAGGCCAGTGATCGGTGCAATGAAGTTGTGTGAGCCACCTGGCCCACCCTGGTGTTGCTGGGCTTGTGTGAGCCACCTGGCCCACCCTGGTGTTGCAGGGGTTGTGGGAGCCACCTGGTCCACCCTGGTGTTGCAGGGGTTGTGTGAGCCACCTGGCCCACCCTGGTGTTGCTGGGGTTGTGTGAGCCACCTGGCCCACCCTGGTGTTGCTGGGGTTGTGTGAGCCACCTGGCCCACCCTGGTGTTGCTGGGGTTGTGTGAGCCACCTGGCCCACCCTGGTGTTGCTGGGGTTGTGTGAGCCACCTGGCCCACCCTGGTGTTGCTGGGGTTGTGTGAGCCACCTGGCCCACCCTGGTGTTGCTGGGGTTGTGGGAGCCACCTGGCCCACCCTGGTGTTGCAGGGGTTGTGTGAGCCACCTGGCCCACCCTGGTGTTGCTGGGGTTGTGTGAGCCACCTGGCCCACCCTGGTGTTGCTGGGGTTGTGGGAGCCACCTGGCCCACCCTGGTGTTGCTGGGGTTGTGGGAGCCACCTGGCCCACCCTGGTGTTGCTGGGGTTGTGGGAGCCACCTGGCCCACCCTGGTGTTGCAGGGGTTGTGTGAGCCACCTGGCCCACCCTGGTGTTGCTGGGGTTGTGGGAGCCACCTGGCCCACCCTGGTGTTGCAGGGGTTGTGTGAGCCACCTGGCCCACCCTGGTGTTGCTGGGGTTGTGGGAGCCACCTGGCCCACCCTGGTGTTGCAGGGGTTGTGTGAGCCACCTGGCCCACCCTGGTGTTGCTGGGGTTGTGTGAGCCACCTGGCCCACCCTGGTGTTGCTGGGGTTGTGGGAGCCACCTGGCCCACCCTGGTGTTGCTGGGGTTGTGGGAGCCACCAGGCCCACCCTGGTGATACAGAGACATAACTAGACATAATAACACACCTCTAAGTCATCAGGAGTGAGGTCCCAGGAGGGCCGGATGGGCGTCTCCATCGTCACCTTCCCCCACACCAGAGACTTCTTCGGCTTCTTGGGCTTGGTCTTCTTGCCCAGAGCTGTCCTCATCCTGCCGGGGCACCCACACTATTAGTACCATACCCAGGGGCACCCACACTGTTAGTCACATACCCAGGGACACCCACACTGTTAGTACCATACCCAGGGACACCCACACTGTTAGTCACATACCCAGGGACACCCACACTGTTAGTCACATACCCAGGGACACCCACACTGTTAGTCCCATACCCAGGGACACCCACACTGTTAGTCACATACCCAGGGACACCCACACTGTTAGTACCATACCCAGGGGCACCCACACTGTTAGTACCATACCCAGGGGCACCCACACTGTTAGTACCATACCCAGGGGCACCCACACTGTTAGTACCATACCCAGGGGCACCCACACTGTTAGTACCATACCCAGGGGCACCCACACTGTTAGTACCATACCCAGGGGCACCCACACTGTTAGTACCATACCCAGGGGCACCCACACTGTTAGTCACATACCCAGGGGTTATATCCTGTGTAGTATACGTCACAATATATTGTCCTCGCTCTTTATTACTCTGAAAATATTAAAAAGATAATTACAAAACAGGTAATTACAAAATGCACAATATTGAGCGTCTTAATAAAGTTGCCATGCAGCCTCAAGCTGAACTTACCTGTGTGTCATTACACACCTGTGTCCCCCACATGGTGTGTGTGGTGACTATGTGTCCCCCACATGGTGTGTGTGGTGACTATGTGTGCCCCACATGGTGTGTGTGGTGACTATGTGTGCCACACATGGTGTGTGTAGTGACTATGTGTGCCCCACATGGTGTGTGTGGTGACTATGTGTGCCCCACATGGTGTGTGTAGTGACTATGTGTGCCCCACATGGTGTGTGTGGTGACTATGTGTGCCCCACATGGTGTGTGTAGTGACTATGTGTGCCCCACATGGTGTGTGTGGTGACTATGTGTGCCCCACATGGTGTGTGTAGTGACTATGTGTGCCCCACATGGTGTGTGTAGTGACTATGTGTGCCCCACATGGTGTGTGTGGTGACTATGTGTGCCCCACATGGTGTGTGTAGTGACTATGTGTGCCCCACATGGTGTGTGTGGTGACTATGTGTGCCCCACATGGTGTGTGTGGTGACTATGTGTCCCCCACATGGTGTGTGTGGTGACTGTGTGTCCCCCACATGGTGTGTGTGGTGACTGTGTGTGCCCCACATGGTGTGTGTGGTGACTATGTGTGCCCCACATGGTGTGTGTGGTGACCTTCCTGCTCCCACACACACCACAGTGGAGCACCTTCCTGCTCCCACACACACCACAGTGGAGCACCTTCCTGCTCCCACACACACCACAGTGGAGCACCTTCCTGCTCCCCCACACACACCACAGTGGGGCACCTTCCTGCTCCCACACACACCACAGTGGAGCACCTTCCTGCTCCCACACACACCACAGTGGAGCACCTTCCTGCTCCCACACACACCACAGTGGAGCACCTTCCTGCTCCCACACACACACCACAGTGGAGCACCTTCCTGCTCCCACACACACACCACAGTGGAGCACCTTCCTGCTCCCACACACACCACAGTGGAGCACCTTCCTGCTCCCACACACACCACAGTGGGGCACCTTCCTGCTCCCACACACACCACAGTGGGGCACCTTCCTGCTCCCACACACACCACAGTGGGGCACCTTCCTGCTCCCACACACACCACAGTGGGGCACCTTCCTGCTCCCACACACACCACAGTGGGGCACCTTCCTGCTCCCACACACACCACAGTGGAGCACCTTCCTGCTCCCACACACACCACAGTGGAGCACCTTCCTGCTCCCACACACACCACAGTGGGGCACCTTCCTGCTCCCACACACACCACAGTGGGGCACCTTCCTGCTCCCACACACACCACAGTGGGGCACCTTCCTGCTCCCACACACACCACAGTGGGGCACCTTCCTGCTCCGACACACACCACAGTGGGGCACCTTCCTGCTCCCACACACACCACAGTGGAGCACCTTCCTGCTCCCACACACACACCACAGTGGAGCACCTTCCTGCTCCCACACACACCACAGTGGAGCACCTTCCTGCTCCCACACACACCACAGTGGAGCACCTTCCTGCTCCCACACACACCACAGTGGGGCACCTTCCTGCTCCCACACACCACAGTGGGGCACCTTCCTGCTCCCACACACACCACAGTGGGGCACCTTCCTGCTCCCACACACACCACAGTGGAGCACCTTCCTGCTCCCACACACACACCACATTGGAGCACCTTCCTGCTCCCACACACACCACAGTGGAGCACCTTCCTGCTCCCACACACACACACCACAGTGGAGCACCTTCCTGCTCCCACACACCACAGTGGAGCACCTTCCTGCTCCCACACACACCACAGTGGAGCACCTTCCTGCTCCCACACACACCACAGTGGTGCACCTTCCTGCTCCCACACACACCACAGTGGAGCACCTTCCTGCTCCCACACACACCACAGTGGAGCACCTTCCTGCTCCCACACACACCACAGTGGAGCACCTTCCTGCTCCCACACACACCACAGTGGAGCACCTTCCTGCTCCCACACACACCACAGTGGAGCACCTTCCTGCTCCCACACACACCACAGTGGGGCACCTTCCTGCTCCCACACACACCACAGTGGGGCACCTTCCTGCTCCCACACACACCACAGTGGGGCACCTTCCTGCTCCCACACACACCACAGTGGGGCACCTTCCTGCTCCCACACACACCACAGTGGGGCACCTTCCTGCTCCCACACACACCACAGTGGGGCACCTTCCTGCTCCCACACACACCACAGTGGGGCACCTTCCTGCTCCCACACACACCACAGTGGGGCACCTTCCTGCTCCCACACACACCACAGTGGGGCACCTTCCTGCTCCCACACACACACCACAGTGGAGCACCTTCCTGCTCCCACACACCACAGTGGGGCACCTTCCTGGTCCCACACACACCACAGTGGAGCACCTTCCTGCTCCCACACACCACAGTGGGGCACCTTCCTGGTCCCACACACGCTTGTATTGGCCATAGTTTGGCCAATAAAAGCACCCATCTTAGACCACTGTCAATGTTCTCATACACCTAGTGCTTCTCCTCACATTATTGACTAGAGTTTGTGTTTCACAAAATTTCTTATGATATAGCAATGTTCTACTCTAATATCTGCGCCTAACCTCTCCTCCATTCTAGTAGGAAAAATGCAGTTTCCCATTAACAAGCTCTCTCTCTCCCTGTCTCTCTGTCTCTCTGTTACCTACTGGAATAGTCAGCACACTGCAGTGGAACCTATTAGGCCTTAACCCAGCCTCAGTATCACCCGGTGTTCGTAGAGAGAAGTCACATCTTATGGCCGTGTTCCACCTCGCCTTCTTCCTAGTTATGTCTCTCAGGTTACTGCTATTAGTGAGCTACCTGGTGTTATTAGCGAGATATCTGGTGCTAGGTGCTATTAGTAAGATGCCTGGTGCTATTACTGAGATACGAGGTGCTATTAGTGTACTATTAGCGAGATACGAGGTGCTATTAGTGAGCTACCTGGTGTTATTAGTGAGATACGAGGTGCTATTAGTGAGATACGAGGTGCTATTAGTGAGATACGAGGTGCTATTAGCGAGATACGAGGTGCTATTAGCGAGATACGAGGTGCTATTAGCCAGATACGAGGTGCTATTAGCGAGATACGAGGTGCTATTAGCGAGATACGAGGTGCTATTAGCCAGATACGAGGTGCTATTAGCCAGATACGAGGTGCTATTAGCCAGATACGAGGTGCTATTAGCCAGATACGAGGTGCTATTAGCCAGATACGAGGTGCTATTAGCCAGATACGAGGTGCTATTAGCCAGATACCCGGTGCTATTAGCCAGATACCCGGTGCTCTTAGCGAGATACCCGGTGCTCTTAGCGAGATACCCGGTGCTCTTAGCGAGATACGAGGTGCTCTTAGCGAGATACGAGGTGATCTTAGCGAGATACGAGGTGCTCTTAGCGAGATACGAGGTGCTCTTAGCGAGATACGAGGTGCTCTTAGCGAGATACGAGGTGCTCTTAGCGAGATACGAGGTGCTCTTAGCGAGATACGAGGTGCTCTTAGCGAGATACGAGGTGCTCTTAGCGAGATACGAGGTGCTCTTAGCGAGATACGAGGTGCTCTTAGCGAGATACGAGGTGCTCTTAGCGAGATACGAGGTGCTCTTAGCGAGATACGAGGTGCTCTTAGCGAGATACGAGGTGCTCTTAGCGAGATACGAGGTGCTCTTAGCGAGATACGAGGTGCTCTTAGCGAGATACGAGGTGCTCTTAGCGAGATACGAGGTGCTCTTAGCGAGATACGAGGTGCTCTTAGCGAGATACGAGGTGCTCTTAGCGAGATACGAGGTGCTCTTAGCGAGATACGAGGTGCTCTTAGCGAGATACGAGGTGCTCTTAGCGAGATACGAGGTGCTCTTAGCGAGATACGAGGTGCTCTTAGCGAGATACGAGGTGCTCTTAGCGAGATACGAGGTGCTCTTAGCGAGATACGAGGTGCTCTTAGCGAGATACGAGGTGCTCTTAGCGAGATACGAGGTGCTCTTAGCGAGATACGAGGTGCTCTTAGCGAGATACGAGGTGCTCTTAGCGAGATACGAGGTGCTCTTAGCGAGATACGAGGTGCTCTTAGCGAGATACGAGGTGCTCTTAGCGAGATACGAGGTGCTCTTAGCGAGATACGAGGTGCTCTTAGCGAGATACGAGGTGCTCTTAGCGAGATACGAGGTGCTCTTAGCGAGATACGAGGTGCTCTTAGCGAGATACGAGGTGCTCTTAGCGAGATACGAGGTGCTCTTAGCGAGATACGAGGTGCTCTTAGCGAGATACGAGGTGCTCTTAGCGAGATACGAGGTGCTCTTAGCGAGATACGAGGTGCTCTTAGCGAGATACGAGGTGCTCTTAGCGAGATACGAGGTGCTCTTAGCGAGATACGAGGTGCTCTTAGCGAGATACGAGGTGCTCTTAGCGAGATACGAGGTGCTCTTAGCGAGATACGAGGTGCTCTTAGCGAGATACGAGGTGCTCTTAGCGAGATACGAGGTGCTCTTAGCGAGATACGAGGTGCTCTTAGCGAGATACAAAGTGCTCTTAGCGAGATACGAGGTGCTATTAGCGAGATACGAGGTGCTATTAGCGAGATACGAGGTGCTCTTAGCGAGATACGAGGTGCTATTAGCGAGATACGAGGTGCTATTAGCGAGATACAAAGTGCTCTTAGCGAGATACAAAGTGCTCTTAGCGAGATACAAAGTGCTCTTAGCGAGATACAAAGTGCTCTTAGCGAGATACGAGGTGCTATTAGCGAGATACGAGGTGCTATTAGCGAGATACGAGGGGCTATTAGCGAGATACGAGGTGCTATTAGCGAGATACGAGGTGCTATTAGCGAGATACGAGGGGCTATTAGCGAGATACGAGGTGCTATTAGCGAGATACGAGGTGCTCTTAGCGAGATACGAGGTGCTCTTAGCGAGATACGATGTGGTGTCGTCAGGAAGCATCATCCTGAGCCACAGAAGGAGACTTACTTCTTCATGAGCCACAGAAGGAGACTTACTTCTTCATGAGCCGCACCTGGCGACCCTTGACTGTGGACTTGAGCCTGGTGTCAATGACTCTCGGCCGACCCTTGCCCGGCCCGGCCAGGTCTCGGCCCAGGATCCTTGACAGCCTCACCATCATCCTCAGTCGTAGCAGAGTGGGCTGCGTCGACTTCCTGTACCAGGTGAGAGAGAGATAACAGTGTGTGAAGCAATCTCTTGTTTGTATAATACAATGATGGGGTGAGACCCTCTCTTGTTGGTTAGAGAGAGGGAGGAGATAAGGACTGCTCTTGTTAGTAGGAGAGGGGGAGGAGATAAGGACTGCTCTTGTCAGTAGGAGAGGAGGGGGTGGGGGGCGAGGTGTCAGACAGAGTAAACCCAGGTAGCCACGACACACTGGGTACTCGTCGTCGTCATCACAGTCAATATTCCCGTGGGGCTCCCACGGAAAATATTACATATTTAAAAAAAGTACATATACAGTACATGGGAAGATTCCCGTGGTGTGATAAGAGTCTGCGGAGACAGCTCATGTGAAAGTTATTGAGCTGTTCGGCGTGTCTGCTGTAGAGAGTCCAGGTCGTGCTGGCGTGGAGTAGGTGGTGAGCACCACTGCACGGCAGACCTTCAGTTTGGTGGTAAGAACTGAGGTCCTCCGCTCCCAGACTTTCTCACAGAGTCTTCTAAAGGCAGCGCTGGCCTTGGCGGTCCTGTTGTTGACTTCTGAGTCTATGTTCACTGCTCTTGAGAGTATGGTGTCCAGGTAGGTAAAGTTGTACACTCCGTGCAGGTTCTGCCCCTTGACAGTGATGTGTAGTTCCTAGGAGGGTATTCCGGGCCGCAGGTTGGTATATGACTTCAGTCTCTTTGGTGCTGACGATGACACCAAAGTTGTTGCTGACTTGCGACAAGCAGTCAATTTGGTGCTGCATTATTGGCTCTGTGCTGGAGTTGAGGGCGCAGTCGTCAGTGAATTGGAAGACTCATATGAGTTTACTTCACCTTTGTAATGGCCTGCAGGCGCCTGAGGTTGAACAGCCCACCGTCAGTCCAGTATTTGATGGGTATTCCATCCTGGCAATCACGGAAGGCATCAGTGAGTATGGCGGCGAATGCTGAAGAGTGTTGGGGCGAGAACGCAGCCCGGCTGCACACCGGTCATCAATGGGGTGACTTTTTACTCGTCTCCATCGTCCAGTACTTTAGTCATGACGCCATCGTGGAACTGCCGGACACAGTGAATTTACCGGGACAGCCAAACGTCTCCATTATCTTCTACAGGCCATCTCTGCTGACCGTATCGAAGGACTTGGTCAGGTCGACGAAGGTCACGAAGAGGTCGCTATCTTGCTCTTGCCATTTTTCTTGGAGCTGGTGAGCACCAAATATCGTATCGGCAATTTTACGTTCTGCACGGAAGCTGTTTTGGCTTTCTGGGAGGACACCCTTACTCAAAGTTTTGAAGGTGACAGTTGAACCGAATAGGAGCCAGAATCTTCCCAGTGATGGGCAGGAGTGAAATACCCCGGTGATTATCGTAAGATTGCCGGTTGCCTTTCCTCTTGTAGATGAGAACTATGCTGGCATCTTTTAACTGTTGTGGAACCTCGCCTTCATTCCACATGGACTGGAAGAGCTTTGCCAGTTTCTGTATCATGGCTGGGCCTCCTGTTTCGTACACTTCAGTAGGGATTGCATCTGATCCTTTTGCACTTTACCCACAGAAAACTTCTTGATGGCCATCCTGACTGTTTCTTCTGTGGGAGGTTTATCAAGGTTGATGTCCACTTGAGATAGGCGAGCAATGGTCTCATCGTTGATTGCAACTGAGCAGTTAAGGACCTGATCAAAGTGTTCAACCCATCTCTCCAAGATCTACTTCTTCTCTGTCAGCAGTCGAGTCCCATCTGCACTGAGGAGGGAAGCAGAGTCAGAGGGCTGTGGTCCATATACAGCCGTCAGAGCGTCATAGAAACGCTTGGTGTAATGACTGTCTGTGTAACCTTGGATTTCACCGGCCTTCTTTCTAAACTATGGATCCTGCACCCCACTGAGTTTCCTTTGTACTATTTTGCAGGTACTGACAAAGGCATCTTTCTTCCCTTGTTATGCAGGGTCATTCTGGTGTGCATAAAACAGGTGAAGTTTTTTTTACAGCAATACCTGTATCTCCTCGTCGTTTTCGTCGAACCAGTCCTGGTCTCTGCGGGTTGCTCTCTGAGGTGCTCAAGAGCAGTAGAGTAGACATCTCTGAAGGCTGCCCACCTCACTTCGATGCTGTTCTGGCCATTCTGGAGTGTGTCAAGCATCCTTCCTTCTAGGTCGTTGGAGAATCCTTCAGCAACTTTGCTGTTCTTCACCTTAGAAACATTGAGTCTTTTTATAGTCTCCTGACCTTGGAGTCCTCTCGTGGGCAGGATGCACTTGGACACAATGAGGCGATGGTCAGTCCAGAAGTCGGCACCACACATGGCCTTAGTCACTCTCACGTCCTGCCTGTTTCCTGGTGATGACAATCAATCAGATGCCAATGCCTAGAGTGCGGGTGCCTCCATGATGTCTTGATGCAGGTGGGATGGCGAAACAGTGTTGTGACGACGAGGTCGTGTGTGGCACACAACGTAAGGAGCAGAAGGCCATTACTGTTGCACTTGCCAGTGTCATATCTTCCAATCATCTCTTCCCAGGTCTGGTAGTCTGTCCTAACTCTGGCGTTGAGGTCTCCGAGGATAATAAGTTTCTCTGACTTTGGGACTGCTGCAATGAAGTTGTCGTGTTTCTCATATAATTTTTTCTTGATGTCATCTTGGTTGGTCATGGTTGGGACATAGGCAATGATCAGCGATGCGCTCCTCTTGTTTCCAAGTCTGATGCACTCCTCTCTTGGAGCTTAGCAAGTTTTTGGGCGAGGTGGGATCTGATGGAAAATCCAACACCAGCTTCTCGTCGTTCAGAGCTACTGTGACCACTCCAGAAAAAGGTGTACCCACCACCACGTTCCATAGGCTGACCTTTACCAGCAAAGCGTGTTTCACTGAGTGCTGCGGTCCACATTGTAGTGCACTAGTTCCTTTCCAATTTCCTGTGCAGTTTGCCTTTCAGGTCTGTTCCAGCAGAGTTCGAACATTCCAAGTACCGAGATTGAGCACACTCGCTTTTTTCTTTGTATTTGTTCCGACATCTGTGGGGGGGGATCCCCACCAGCTACGGCTTGCTGGCCAGGGTGAATAGAAGCAGGCTATGTTTAAGGCACTTTTTCTAGTTCCTTCTACAATGAAGGTGAGCAGAATGTGTCCTGAAGAGAACTGCTCAGACACCCAGGGGCCTGCTGAACCCCTGCTGTGGCTTCCGTCCAGTAGAGAGCGACCCTGTGACCTGAGGCGCCTGTGTGCAAGTCTGTGACTACAGCTTCCAGTGTATCCTCACCTAATGCTTCGCCACTCGCCCATCACCACAGGCCTTGAGATCGTGCAGCAGGAGTTGAAGTCCTAACTTGCACTTGACGGATTAAAGTTAGAGAGAATTGCGCAGATCGTCAGCCTCACTCTCTCGTCCTGGCCTATCTGGGTCCCTTGGCAAGACAAGCCGAGGCAGCAGGAGATAGGTTAGGATGCAGTGGATGGCCAGCAGTGTCTTACGTGTCTCACTGCGCCCTAAATGCACTCTACAATACTTTGCTGGCCCGCCTTCCTGCTCGATGTACCATTCTGATGGTCTCCTTCGAGCAGTCTGCTGGCTCCAGTCTTCATATGCATAGATAGACAAGTCTTAGGTCACCGAGGGTCTCAAACCTTCGGCTACCCTCGCCTGGTTTCGCCCGCCAGTCGGACCAGTTTACCGGGGTGTGGTCGCCGTTGCATGCAAACATGTACTAGGAGCCACAGGTGAGAGTTGAGTGCAGGTGGGGACCAAAGCAGACGTAACCACCCGAAGGTGCGACTGTTCCCTGTCAGAGGTATTACCCCTCACGGACACCTCAAAGAATGCAGAGCCATGTAGAGCTGCTCCGGAAACTTAGAGTTACTCATGAAGAGATACAAAGCTTCTCTTTGCTACTCACAGTAAACAGCTAAGACTTAATTTGTGTTCAGTAGCTCAGCTTCATTTAATTAAATTATTTAAATTCTTGTTCATAAAGTGGGCATATGAGGGAGTTAGAATAAACTTCCACACATGATGTGGCTGGCAATGGTTGGAGAGGCAGTTTGCTTCAAACAAGCTAATCACTTGAACCAACAGTTTCAAGTGTAAAGAAGTGAAGAAGAGAAGAGTTTGCGTGTGTAGTTAAGTCTTAACTTTAGGCGATAGTGTCAGGGGCGTAAAGCAATTGTTGCAACTGTGTTATCTAGTCTGTTTAGGAAAGATATTCTTATTACCTTCTTGCAGAATTGTCTTAGCTTAGAAGCTTAGATAACAAATCACAGGAATTTGCAGCAGGGAAGAGTGATGGTAGATAATGCTATACAATACCATTATCGAAGTTGAACACAAAAATATTAAACGTTCCAGAGCTATTAAAAGCACCGCTCACCGGTCACTCGTCAAGCACTACCCTGAGGGACGGGTCTCACAACACTAGTTACCTCCGGTGAACCTCACCCAATTCACATATAAAGTGCTAGACATCATAACTTTCACCTGTAATGAAAGAAATTAAGTCTACTCCCCAAAAATGGGAGAAGTGTGCCGTATGGTATTAATAAGTTGCATACTCCAGTGTATGAGGCTGAAGAATACAAGGTGTCCTTCACGCAGCTCTCACACTAGTTTAGCACCCTGTAGTTCATTACAAACGTACCAATATTTTAAAGCAATGGTGATGGTCTGATGCACAGTCTCCCTTCTTGCCCCTGTGCCCAGGAAGGGGCATAGGGACCCGAGGCCACACCCACAGGCTGTCCGGTGCTCGGAAGTAGAGTGCAGTAGTGCCGGCCACTGGAACTCAACCTGTGGTGGGGACTAAGGTTTCCATGCCTAGTGCTCACTGCTTTATTATATAATTCATATTTTAAATTCGCTTGAGGTGTTTACTTTGTATTCCTGGAGGGAGGAAGGGGGACGGGTGAGGTGGAAGGGGAAGGCTGAGTGTCCCGGTTCAGCTTCCCTCTTCCCGGAAGGGAAAAGAGGGAAGTCCTCTTCTCGGTGCCCTTATGGCATCGGGCCG